ATCTCCATTTAGTCACCCCGTGGCGAAGCGAGACGTACCTGACTCTTCTAACCTGCTCTCATAAATCACAGAGGGAGGCAGGGAGGAGGAAAAATCCTGGTAAGCAGCCAGGACAAAGCTCAGCTGACAGCTGCAGGGCAGGGGCTGATGGCTGCCTCGCTGTAAAGCATCTGTCCCTGCTCTCCAGGGGATGAGGCCAAAGGCTGCCTCTATTCCAAAAGATGCTTCTCCACCACTTTCTGAGAGACAACACAACACCCCATTCTCATGGGGTGATAAGAAACACAGGGCAGAGCCCAGGGACATTATCTGTGGGGACGAGGGTGTCTCTGTGATGTGCACAGTAATGAATTGCCCTCTCTGCAGGAATGAGTAAGTTGTGCCTGCTGATGCAATGATCAATTTGCTCCATCACACAAAGCTGTCCATTCATCTTGGCCATCGACTGCAGCCACTCACACCTTTTTATTGCCCCCAATGGAGCAGGGGGCTCTGCAGGAGAGCCACAGACCCCTGATCAGGAACAGCCTGGAAAAGGGGCTTCCCCTCTGTCCCAGGCTCCTGGCCGAGGGTCCCCATGGCACTGAGCACCCCGAAATCACAGTCTGCTTTGCTCCAGGGGGCAGCAGAAAGGAAAGAAGGGAAAAAAGATCAAGTTCCCATGGCATCCCCTGCACAAATGGCAAGAAGAGCTGGCAGGGTGCCCTCTGCCTGCATGCCATATCCCATCCCACACGGACCTCCTGACCTTGAGGGATGCTCACCTGCAGCTGCACCCATTCATCTGTGCTCCTGCAGACCAGGAAGGAGGTTGAGGCACAGACAGATGAGTTTTGCTGCTGCAAATAGCAGGGACAGCAAAGCTGTTTCCACACTCTCCAGATACCCTTTGCCTTTCTCATCCACTTCATTTTTCATCCTCCTCCACTCCCAGGGAGCCTCACACCACAGTGATCACCACTGACTTGCAAAATCACAAGTGCCTAAATCATTGCAAAACCCCTTCAAAATACCACTCAAAATGCCTGTAAGGCTGGGGCAGCAGTGAGGCTGCAAGAGCACAGCATGGCTGAGCTGGTGAATGCCATGGGCAGGGAGAAAAAGCTTTGCTCCCATCCTTGACAGAAGACAGGACTCATGAGGGCACAGAGAGGGGGAGCAGAGTGTTCTGCCTCAGAGAGAATTGAAAATAATAAAATAACAAACAAATAAAGAAAAAGTAGAAATAAAAAATCCAGTTGATTGTACTTTGGCAAAGAATTCAGAGAGCAAAGGGGCACACTTGGGAGCAAAACGAAGATAAATCGACAGCGAGTTCAAGAGAATTCATTCTGCTGCTGAACACTTGTCTCTCCATCAGGACATCTCAAAGGCTTGTCAAGCAAAGGCAAGGCTTTTATTTGTTTCTATGGTTGCCATAACGATAGAGCTGTATGTCATGTCAGGCAGCAGCTGAGGCTCGTGCCTCTGATTTATAGCTGCTCAACAGAAATTACCAACTTTTCTCCAGAGCGGGTGGCACAGTGAACCGTGACCACTGGGCCTCTGCCAGTGCTGTGCTCTGCCCCCAGGGCCAGCTCTGCTCTTGGTCCCCCATAGCTGTGTGTGCCCCAAGGGATGCTTTTATTATCCCCTGCAGAGATGTTTTTATTATCCCCTACAGGACATTTTTATTATCCCTTGCAGGGATGCTTTTATTATCCCTGCAGGGGTGCTCGGTGCGGGGGCAGCAGGACCTGGGGGCTGTGGCTGTGGGTCCTTCCCATACACTGCCACAATTACAGCATTTCCTGACCCACAGGACAAGCTCTACCTTCCAAAGGCTCAAGCAGAGATGGCAAGGTGCCCAGGGAAGGCCAGCAGAAGGATTGAACACCTAACAGTAATTTGTTTAACAAAATGTTATAGACTACTGTGTTTAACACCAGATAATGGGAGAAATACAGGTAAGAGAGAGTGATGGGAAAGGAAGCAAAGAGGGATCTTGAAAACAAGCAAGACAAGGTGGGACTGGGATGTATTTCCTGTCCTGGCAGGGGATGTGCTGCCAGGACAGTCTGCCCAGTGTGGGACCCCAGGCTGTGGGGAGAGCCCTGCAGCACTGCTGGCCAAGCTCATCTGAACAAAGATGTCACCGTGAGCGTGGCTGTCACAGTCCCAGGCTGTGACTGATGCGATCCTTGTGTGGAGGATCAGAGTCTGGGGTCGAGGAAGGGATGCTCAATATGGTCACTGATAAATTATATATGCAAGTTTCATTAACTCTAAGCACTCTCATTCCTAATTTATGACGCACAGCCAAGCAGCAAGTTTTGCACACTGCTATGTCCTGTCCCCTGAAGCCCCTGGAGCATCCTGAGGGGGATGTTTGCACAAAGCCTGCTGGCTCCTGTTTGCTGGAAGTTTCTCTAATGACTTGGCTGCAGCAGGGGAAGGTTTTGGCCCTTCGTTCCCGTCCACCAAAGTACAGCTTGTTGCACTGCCCAGCAGTGAAACACACAGAGAACAGCATTGGAGGCAGCATTTCCCCAGAGAGCTGCTGAAAGGCCGAGCCCCACCTGTCCCTCTGCATCTCAAGCATCTTCATAAAAACACAAGACCACATTTGAACCTTTAACCCGCCGAGTTGTAAAGACTTCATCACTTGTTTTCTCCAAAGCAGGCTTTCTGCCATTTCCCTCCATTAAACTCTTCAAGACAAGTGACCCCAGAGCCAAAGGTGTCAGACTAATGAAAGGTCTGCAGGAATGCAGCACGCTTGTTATCACAGACACAGAAGGAACACAGCACTGAGCCACCATCACAGTGACACAGGACAGCAAATGGGGCACGGCGGGTGCTGCAGCTGGTGGAACACAGCCCAGGGTCTGCCCCGTGGCACGGAGATGGGACTGTATTAAAGCCCAAGCACTGCAGGTTCAGGAAGAGTTTCTTCATTGGAAAAGGGCTGCCAAGCAGTGGAAGGGCTGCCCAGGGAGGTGGTGAAATTCCCATCCCTGGAAATGTTCAAAAAGTAACTGAGCTTGGCACTCAGTGCACTGGTCTGGGTGACAAGGTGGGGATTGGTCACTCACTGGATTAAATCCTTGAGGTCTTTTCCAATCCAAACGATTCTGTGATTCACCTGCAGGAGCTCCCAGCATGGAGAGACAGCAGTGCTGCCACAGTCCCAAAGCCAGGAAACCCCTTCAGGCAGAGGGAGGGGTGGCTGTGTTTGAACACCTACACCTTGGACCACCTGATGTGCTGGATCACCACCTGAACATCTGAACCACCAAAACTTCTTCCCTGAGAAGCTGCTTGTGTCAGTCCAGAGGTAAGGCAAAGAAGCTGCAAGATAAGCAGCTCTGAAAATACCTTTCTCATTGCATGAAAGCGCCCAAGAACCTCAGAAGAGGGTTCCAGCCACCCCAGGGTGCTGAGGATCCCGAGCTTGCAGCTGCTCGTTTGAGAAGTGTTTCAGTTCTAATGTAGAAATAATAGATTGATTTTCACTTCTCACTGTATCTGTGAAACCTTCCATAATTCAACATCAAATATTTATTATTGCATTTATTAAAGTTTTAATAATTCAGCAACTCCTGTGTGTAAGATACAAGTGCCGTGAACTCACACCTCCCTTATTCTACCTGAGCCACTCCAATATTTATACCTGAAATTCTCAGTTCAGGTTCCCTTTATGAGGGGAGCAGGCAAAAGCCTTGTGCCAAAACCTCCCCTCCTCCTGCCTGGCATTCATCCATCCCAACAGAGACTTTTCCACAAGGAGCAGTGCCCAGAGACAATTACTGCACTGGAGCAGAAAACAAGCTTCTGAGCCTCTACCTTCACTGAGGCACTTTTAATGAAGACGTGAGGAGGAAAGAAATAAATAATGTTCTCTTGGCACTTTGGCTTGGAAAATGTTAGCATAAACCCCTTCCTTTCTCAAATTAAAAGCAGAAGTTGCTGCAGACAAGAAAAACAAAGGCCCTAAAAGAGCCAAACTGTGATGGATATGTACCACTGTCTTTTTTCACAGGAAAGGGAACAAGCACTAATTAGCAACAAAAACACACACACTTGGAAGTGAGGACATCTTTTGGATGCCAGTCCTGGCTCTGCCATAGCTTTTGTAGGCACTTGCTTCAACTACAGCCCTGCCAAGATGATGGGACAGAAGAATGGAAATCCATTCCTCATCACTTTGGGAAAGACAAGACAGAAGAGGAGGGGGGACACAAGGATCCTGCTGGTGCCCAGGGAGATGATTCATAATACAACCAAGGATTTTCAAGTCAGGAAATTGTGTCTGGAGTCAACAGGAGAAAGCAGAAAGAAGGAAGGGAGGGAGGGAAGGAGGGAGGGAGGGAACCTGGAGTCTCCCTGGCACCCAACAGTCACATGCTCAATCTTAATTTAATAGGAGAGAGGGGAATGCACACTAAATACCTTCAGAATTAAACCCTTTTAATTTACAGTTAAACCCTTGTAAACCAGACAAAAGAGGATAACCACCACCAAGGTAATCAGCAAAATGTCCAGGCATTCATTGAACTCCAAAAAGGAAAAAAAAAAAAAAAAAACAAAAAAAACAACCCTCTAATTGTATAATTATTGGATGAGCAACATGGCCTTTCACCCTTCATGAGCATCCCAGCAGATACCAGTGGCTGGGTGGATGTGATATAGGTATGAGTTCCAGAAAGATGACAGCCCCTCCATCCCAGTAAATGCATCCATTTAAGCACTGCAATCAACATTACATTTAAGCCACTCTCAAACTGCCTTGCCACAGGTTCCTACCAATTCACCTGCCTGTACTGCAGATTTCAGAGTTACACACTCAGGCCTGGCCTAGACCCATCAGCCCAAAGAGCCTGGAGAGCAATCACATCAGATTTCTTATTGGAAGGAAATTAATCAAACCTATTATCACAGAAATTACTGCATCCTCAATAACAATTTAAAGAGCAGTATAGGCACTCAAGCATGAAGAAAACGAGAAATCTGCTTCCTACCTGACATCTGCTGGATCTTCAGTCACCAGAACATCTGTCTTGCAGCTGGCAAGGGGATTGATGGAAAGCTCCACGGGGGGCACCACGAAGCTCTTACTGACTGGCAGCCACAGCCCTTGACCCAGACTGTAGGTGGACCTGGAAAAAGGACAATCATGTCACACAAGAACAGCGTGTCCACAGGGAATGGTGGCCCTCCACTGCCTGCTCGGCAGGCAGAGCTGTGGTGGCACCATGAGATAAGTCAGTGATTTAGTCCTGTTCTGAAAGCCAGATGGGAGAGAAATGACTTGAGATGTGACAGGAGAACATGGAGATGGGAAAAATGTTCTTTTTATTCCAGGAGGAGTTTCTGTACGTGCTGTTGTCACATTTGCTGAAGGGGCAAGAGGGGAACCCTTCTCTGCCTGCCAAAAATGGATGAATCTTTCAGGTCTGTCACAGACAAATGACACTTGTCCCATCACCAGCACAAGAATGAGCTGGGATTGACCAAAAGGGTGCATCCACTGGGATGTCCTTGTGGCTCTTCCTTCCCAAATGTCCCAGCTGAACCCTCCTCTGACTCACCTGAGTATCTTCTCTGGCGCCTGCTCTCCCGTGACCAAGTCATATCCCCGCTCCAGCGTCGTGTAGGGCCAGGGCCTGGGAGGAGAGAGGGCAAAAGCAGCTGAGCCCATCTCTGGGCTGGGCAAGAGGCACAGTGATCGCTCAGGGGGAGGAGAACTGCGCTCCTCAGCACCAGGGGAGCCGGGGCAGATCCCCCCAGCCCGGTGTCCCCACTCACCCCTCGCTGTGTCCCCAGTCGCTGCGCACGCACAGGTGCCGATGGACGGGGTCCGGCGCGTACCCTTCGTGGCAGCTGCACTCCCCTAGGACAGAGCAGGCAAGGATGAGATGGCTCTGGCCCAGAGGCATGGCAGTGACTGCACAGTCAGGCCCTCCTCCCCTGCTGCCCATCTCTGGTCCCTCCTGTGCCTCTGGAGCACTTTGGACTCCAGAAACCCCCAGGAGGTGTGGAGAAGGAAAGCTGTAAGAAACCCCTGGTTATTCTCAGGGAGGGGATTACATGATGCAGCGCCCACAGGAGCTGGAGATGGGGTTTCATGAGGCAGTGTTCCTGTGCAGTCCTGCAGCCAGGTGTTCACTCCTCAGCAGGGATCTTGACCTTCCAGTGTCCACCCTGTGCAATGCCCAAGGTGGGCACCACAAACTCATCCCACATCCCCTTCCCAACTCTGCTCTGCCATCTGGCACCAGGACAAGAGAGCAGAGTCTCCTGCAGCCCAAACTCCCACTGAAAGATGCGCAACCCCCAAATTCCACCCTCCTCAGACAGTTCCCATGCTGTGTCCCCATCCCACAGCAAAGGGGCTCTAAACCCTGCTCCCCTCTGCTCTCTGACAGCAGGAGAAGACACTTCCCACACCAGAAACCCGACTGCACTTGGCCCAAATTGATTCAGTGTTTGGTAGAAATACATAACCTGGAGCAAGAAACAGCAAAATCAAAAGATTAATTGGATTTGCACGTGGAGTTTCTGCTACAAGCTGCTGCCAGTGTTTCCCCCCACCCTCCCCTCCTCTCCCCATCGTGCCTGACGGTGCAGCAAAGCTGAGCTGTAAACACTGCTGAGGTGGGGACCCAGGGAGGATGCTGGGGAGGTGGGGACCCCCCTCACAGTGGCAACGCAGACTGGCAGCTACCTGCATGCTCCTCCTTAAGCAAGTTCTTAAAATGCCTCACAAGGATTACAGTAAAGAGCTTTATTGTCAGGAGGGAGCGAGATGGGGATTCAACCACTGAGATTTTTGAGGAAGAGACGCCTGGGAAGGGAGAGGCAGCAAAAAAAGGAAAGAGTGGGGGGGGAAAGAGAGGGCTAATGATGTGCTAAAATGCAACAGCACCTTCATGAAATATTCACTGCCTCAAACGCGTCTAATATTAAAGATTAAATGTCCTGGGATTTGTCCTAGCGACTTCGAAGCACTGATTTATGATCTGTCAAAAGCTGCTAACCTCATGATTCATAACAGGAGCAGCAGGAACATTGCTGCTCCAAAGGGAAAGAGTTGGGAGAGAGATGGCAGCGCTTGGCCCTGCTCAGGCTCTGCTGTGCCTGGGGGCTGGGGCGGTCTCAGTGCAGGAAAACACGGGTCCTAATGGCTCCATCAGTGATTTTAAAAAAAGAAAAGTTATTTTTTCCTTGGGTGCTTAGTACGCAAGTTTCCCCAGCCGTGCTGTGGATCATTAATTCCTGGCGCTTATTACATAACAAATATGTGCTCTGCAAATGAGAGACATCTCAAAGTGCTTGCAAAGCAGAGCTGGGAGTCTTGGGGCACTGGCTCACTCTCAGCTCCTGCCACAGAAATTAGAGCAAGTAAAGAAAAAACACCGACAGAGGTCAGCATCCCATGGCCCAAACGCCTCCCCCATATCTATGGCTGGGGGTGCTGGGTGGTGAACCCCCTTGCCACGGTGCAGGAGGGTTTATTTTGTCTGCTGGCTTGTTTACTGCTCCGTCAGTTTGGCATCAGAAGGAGGAACTCTATCAACCAGGGGAAATATTGATTTTATTGACTCCAATCCTGGAGGTTCAGCAGCTACAACTGGTGCTCAAGACTTTATTGGGAGGTTTATTGGGAGGTTTATTTCAGTAAGTGAGAGGGCAAGTGGTGGCACCAGCTGGGGAGGAGATCCAGGGCAGGAGAGAGTGGGGATCAGCTTTCCACGGATTTCCCAGGGTAATCTACACCCCTTTGGCAGGGTTTTGGAAACTGGATAGGAGGGCTCCCAGCACAGGGTCAGCTGAGTGCTGCAGTGGGCTGGAATACAGAGGACTCCAACACCTTGGGTCAGATGTTTTAGAATTTATTCCTCTGTCAAGAACCATGAATTGACAATTAGTGGGGCTTCCAAAAAATTCCAGCAGAACCTGCTGTGCTCTTGCAAGTCCTCAGGAGCTTTTGTCCTCTCCCCAACAGCATCCACCTTCCTTCTTTGGCCCCCCAAACTACTCTGTTATTTCAGTCTGTCCCATTCCTTCCCAGAGACAATGCTGAGTCAGGGAGGATGCTGAGCCTGGCTAAACCCCATGGAATGAGAAACACCTGCTAAAGTGTCTGGAGTGGGGGGAACAGGGTTCCCATATCTCTAAGCCCTCTTTAGGGTGGGTTTTTCAACATACTGCTAAAATAAATCAAACCATCAAAAAGGCCAAAATAAAGAGTCTTTGTTCAAAGCAACTGCATCCGAGATGGACACAGTTATCCACTCAACCTTGCTGCAGCTGAGTTAGAATTCAAGCTGAGCTTGAAGCCAAAGTTAACCAAAGTAACCAAGTTTGACAAGTAACTGCACCTGGAGCAGGATGTAATTTCCACAGGTCCTGCACACGCCTCTGTGCAGCATTCAGCTGCTGCAGGAGCACAAATGAATCAGGATCTACCAAGCCCCAGGACAAGAATCCTGCTCCCAGTGCCTGCACCCTGCCCCTGGCATGCACAGTCCTTCCTCTGCCTTTGGATTCAGAAGCCACAAACCAGGCTGGATAATCCATGGCAATCATTCAGCTGTTACAGCCAAAGGAAGCATCACTGCTCACTCAATATAAATGAGGGCAGGTCCCAGTGCTCAGCTCTGGAGGTAATATTGTATTTCCAGTGTGTTATTAAACAGGTGGAGGGTTTAGTTCTCATTTTTAATTGAAAAGCTGGAAGTTGCTGAACTATTCCTTCATTACACTCTCCACACTGTGCTGCTGCTTCTGCTGGAATGGGGAATGGGGTCTCACACTGCACCCACACCCTCCCTGCCCATCCCCACAGGGCCTGGGAGCAGCAGAGCAGGGCTGCAGGGTGAACCATCAGCAAGCCAGGGTAAGCCTGTTAGCCTCACTATGGAGAGACTGATCCGTGGTGATAATGCTGCAAGAATCCCCCTAATCCACCCACCCAGTGCACAGCAGGAATGGAGGCTCCCAGAGCCCCTGTGCTCCCAGGGAAGCTGCTCTCTGCTGTCACTGACACTTTTATTTAAGGAGCTGGAGGAGCTCTGGCAGTGGTGGAGCAAAGCTGTTGCTTGTCAGCCTTCTCTTGGCACTGCTGGTGTCCGTGATTCCCTCCTGGCAGCACCTCCAGTGCTGGCACTCACCCTTGTCCTGGAGGAATGCCCTGCTGTGCCAGGGCTGTGCCCCAGCTGCACAGGTACGTGCTGGGGACAAGGCCAGACCCCAGCTGGGGTGGCAGCTGATCCCAAAGGCTGTGGGGCTACAAACACACACCTTCCCAGCTGTGTGAGCACTGCACAAACATGCTCACACCCGTTTCAGGGCTGCCTCTCCCACCCAAAGGGATACAGAGCTCAGCCCCAGTTTTTGTGTCCACTCTTCTCTGGACATACACACCCGCTGCAGGGAACACACCAGCCCCAGCAGAGCATCCTCAGTGCCACTGAGCCTCAGAGCTGCAGCACCACACTCCCAGTCTCCCAGTAAAACTCTCTGAAAAGCTCCTCTTCTACCCCTGACACCTGCTGTTCCTGCTCTTCAGGGATGGCACTTTCCAAACCTGAGCCTCTGCTTCATCCTGATGAGAAATGCCACTTCTCTAGAAGCAGCTTAGAACTCTAGGAACAAGACAAAGAAAGTGGCTCCTGCCCTGCTGGCCTGACACAGAGCATGGAGGGAAAACCGGGAGTGAATTTGACAGTTATCCCTCCTCTACCCCTGCTGCAAGCCACCCTCCTCACCCTCACCCATCACAGCACCTAAGCACAAGCTTAACCTCCAAGGATTGTGCCTGAGTTTAAGCTCTGCACAGATTTAATTCTCATTATCATCTGCTCAGCTCCTACACCGCACCTCCAAGGAACACATGAGCTGATGCAAGGAAGCAGAGAGGTCCCAAGGGTGGCCTGTGTGCCACAGCTGTCACCTTCTGGGCTGGGCACTGCCCCAGAGCTGGCCATGGAGGGGTGAGAAGCCCCTGCAGCACCGGTGGATGGCCTAGTCAGGGGATGGGTTCAGGAGCAGCTCCATACAGCAAAACCCATCCCTGTTCCCTCCTCCCTGTGCTCTTTAGACAAGCACAGAAAATGCCATTACAAGAACATTAGCAGCTGCAGGATTAAACACTCTAATGGCAGAAAATGAGAGTGCAAAGACAGCACAGATAACCTTAACTCGGCCCCTTGCAGGCACGAGTTTTGATTGCTGTTTATGTATAACACTTCAGCCTGGAGCTAAATTAGCTTGGGAGTTAACTGCCTCCTGCCCTGCTTGGTGCACCAGGCAAGCTGTGCCACCACAGGAAAAGGAATGGCATATTACATGGGTTTTGACCAAGTTATTAAACTCCATGCCTTAGAGAGACAGAAACTCGTCCTATAAAAGTCTAAGTCAATAAAGGCACCGGATCCTCCAACGGTGAAAATAGATGAAGAGCACAAGAACAAACAAATATTACTTGATGTGCACAGAACCTGCATGCTATTCAATTGAACTATAGGAAGGGGTGGCTGTTTCCATAAACACAAATACACCCTCAGCAAGGTTGGGCATCTCCTGATTTACATGCTCAGCTCTGCAACCTCCAAATCCCCTTAACAGGTTGCCCTTAAAAAAAATAGCTCTGTGTAAAATGACTTTCATCTGCCTCCTGCCCACAACACACCCCTGTCCTACCCAGGCAGCAGTACCATCTGTGGCTCTGGTGACAAACTGGCCTATTTGGACAATGATGGAAACCTTTTTTTTTTTTTTTTTTTGGGGGGGGGGGGGGGGGGGGGGGGGGGGGGGGGGGGGGGGGGGGGGGGGGGGGGGGGGGGGGGGGGGGGGTTCCAATTGTGGATGCAATGAGAGAATTTTGATGAAGAAAAGCCTGATTTATAGATGGGTAAAAAAAAAAAAAATCCAACACATTTGCACCTGCTAATCAAGGTAGCTATCCATCTCATTTATGCCACTGCTCCAGCAAGCCTGACAGCACAAAATCAGAGGCTGTTTCTTCCAGCATTTGGCCCTGAGGGACTGATTCTCCAGCAGGTCTCTTCAGCAATGCCCACAGAATGTGCAAGTGAATCGGTTTTGTGCATACAAAGCAGGTAATTGTGCTCACAAATCAGGATTTGCATATGCTGCTGGAAAGGGATGCTCTCATCAAGCCTGGTGAGGGAGGCCAGCGAGGCAGCAAGCACTCCTGGAATTTACCCAGGGGTATCCCAGTGTGTGGCACCGGCACTGCTCCCACATCTCTTCAAAATATGGAGAGTGAGGAGAGCTGACAACCAGTCCCACAAGAAAACAAACCTTCCCTGCTCTGGTCTCAAACAGCACAGGCAGCACCTGCCAGCAGGATGGGGGATTTTGGCTGAACATCTCCAGCCAAGGAGCACATCCTGCCCCAGAGAGGTGCCTGTCCCATCTGACGGGGCAGCTGGACACGGTCACCGTGTCACATCTCAGCAGCGTCCATTTGTCTCTGGATCTGCAGTCAGACCAACCAGCCTGGCTGTTTCCAAGGCAGGAGGGATGAGGGAGATGACATTTTGCTCATGTGCAGATGTCAGTGCTCCCTCTGAAACGCTCTGATGAGCTGGGGCTTCACAACACAGGTTTCAGATTTGTCAGGGGGGCAGCAATCATTTAATTACAGAGTGAGTCACACGACAGAGACGCAAGGGAAGGCAAATTAAGGTCAGGCAACAAAGTGGATTTTGGCATTTCCTAGTGTTTCATAGTTTTCACGGGGAATTATTCTCCACACTGAAGGAGTACTGGGTGTCCAGAGTCACAAGTCAATACATTGTGCAGACAAATGCCATCCCAAACTCCAACCCAAAGAATGTGCTGGGATAGGTGAGAGCTTGAGTGTCACCAGAGAGAGCATGAGTGACCTGGGGCTCTCTGTCCAAAGGTGTGCCAGGAGCCCATGGCACTGCCCGCAAGGATAGGGGTCCTGCCCACAGAGGTCTGTCTACACCCAAGGGAGATTGGGACAAGGCTGCATCCACAGTGCTCTGGATGGCTCCAAGGGGAAGGCTGAAGGCAGATTAGCCATAAATGTGCTGGAGGACTTCAATGCTGGCTCTGCTGCTCTTCACAGGGGACACTTTGAAGGCTTTCAGCCTCCAGAGAGGACAAACTTCAGTCCATCATTCTCACGGATGCTCTGTCCAGTCTGAGAAGGCAGAGGACAGGGGAATCCCTGGCACCCATAGCTTGGGATGCTCACAGAGAGGATAAAATCCCTGACCCAAAAAGGTTGAAATCCAGACAGGATTTATGTGCTGCCATAAAACCACAGGCCTTCCTCTCTCATGGTGATAAAAATAAATCACCCTTAAAAATAGAACGACATTAATAAAAATAAATCTGAAAGTACATGCAGTGTATCCTGGGGTTACAGTCTGCCTCAGCCTGGTGGAGACACTTCTCACCAGTTAAAGGCTGGTCAATGGTGATGGACAGACATGGTGCACTGGGGTACAGGGTCAAGGAGGTACTTCCAAAGGCCTAATTTCAGTTTTTGTGAAGTCTGGACCTCTTAAGGGAGTCTTAGATTTAGGCTATGAAGGTCGGCAGCCCCATCAGCCAGTCCTGCTCGATCCATGCGGATCCAACTGGCAGAAAAAGGAGAAAAATTCTGGTTTATTCATGTGCACACTGTCAGGCTGGAAAGAGGGGGAAGAAGCCCATGGACAGATTCCCAGAGAGGGACCTGAAGGCTGAGATGCAGGCTGCTCTGCCCTCACCATGAGCAGGCAGGGACCATGGGCACCAGGGCTGGGAACGCAGAGCAGCTGCCGAGGTTCAGCTCCAGCACAATCCCGGGATAACGAGCATCTCTCCCTTCCCTGCAAACAAGCTCTGACACATCCTGCTCAACTGTGGGGCATCCAGCAAAAGCGACAAGCTGCTCTGGGAGCCGGGGTCACAGCAGGAGCAGCAGCTGGGCCAGCACGGGAGAGCAGCCGCTCCTCACAACCGAGACCACAGCAGGATCAGCCAGCCCTGCTCACTGCCAAGGACAGGGTGGTGAGGGGAGCCACGGGGCTCTTCCAACAGGGGAGTCATGGTCTGCCTCCATACGGTCTCCCCGTGGTTTCTGCTGGAGGCAGAGCTGTTTCTCTCCTCCTCTGAACCAGGGGACAGCTGAATGCATCTCCCCTCTCCCACTGAGGTGGCTGTGTTTGCCAATGCCTGAAACAAAAATCCTTTTGCTCTGCGACATCTGGATGAAAAGAGCCTCCTCCTGCACCACCTCCATCTGTCAGCGTGGCTGTTGGCACCTCCCAGCCCTCCTTGGGGCTTTAGGTGATGCCCAGGGCTGTCTTCACAGGGAATTCATTCAGCATCACCCTTCTGCTGCAGCCATGCCTGCCAGTGCCTCTGTGCAGACAAGCCTTGAGGAACAGGAATGCTAAGAAGAGAAGATTGTGTTGACTAGGAAAATTAGTTTGTAAGACCAAGTTCAGTATTTGCATCTCAACTGAGCAGGGAGGGATGAGAACAGGGTCACCCCCACCACCCCATGAGGTGTTCATGACTCTGAAGGATTTCTTGTTTTAATCCACCTATTAACGACAGTCAGGGGCTTTGGGAGGCTTAGGAAAAGCCTTCTCCACAGTGAGCCATCCTTTAAACCCTGTGGCAGAACCAGACACCAACATCCTTACCTGCAGCCATGAATCATACACACATGAGGTGAAGAAGCTCACGGCTGAGGGGGAAGCAGCTCACATGGAGAGCTGGGACTAAGGTGGGATGGCACCCCTCTGCAAGGAGATGGGGTTTGGGTGCTCTTCAGACACTCAGCAAGGCAGGACCACCAGGGACACTTGTCTCCACACCACCAAGAAGGCATCCAGTGCAAGGCTGATGAGCCACTGGTGAGTCACAGCACAAAAACCCAGCACAGTCCCTGAGCCACCTTCCCATGCAAGGTCCTGTCATCCTGCGTTGTTTGCTGTGCTCTGTGTTCTTGGCTCACTGCACATTCCAGGACACCCATGTGTCATCCAATAAAGACAGAAGGGAAGGTGAAATTTGTCCTTTGCCCAGCCCCACAGCTGGGTTCCAGCAGGGCTGGCTGCTGCTCCACAGGCAGGTGCTGCACACCAGCAGAACACACTCAGCACAATTCTCATCTAGAGATGAGGAAGGATGGCAGAGTTCACAACTCCACCAGGAAGGGCTGGAGGACAGATCCAACCTGGGTAACCACCAGGCAGGAGTAGGCACTAATGGGAATTGTGGTGCTCTGCAGTGAAAAAGGCCAGAGAAGAAAAGGGATGGAGATGGGATAAATTCACAAGTAGGTTTGCCAGACTGGACAGCAGAACAACCCAACTCAGAAGCAGATAAACTCCACGTGCCTGCAGCTGTCACACCAAAGAACTGGTAAATCCACCATTTCAGATCCCCATCTTGTGCCCATCTTCACATTTTGCTGATAGTGGTCACCACTTTGTGACCCTGCTAGCACCTCTCAGTCCCCACGCCTACCACCAGGCTAGAGCAGAGGTGAGCCATCAAAATACCCAGTGACAGACCTTCTCCTTCACATCTCCGAGCTTTCCAAGGTTTTCACTCTTGCCCAGCTTCCCTTACCTGTGTCTTGGTCACAGAGCTGCTCACAGGCGTCAGTGGTCCTCTGCCCACACAGGTCTCTCACCCAGGGGGACGTGGCATTGATCTGATAGTACAGGGACAGCTTGGCTGGGTTAAGCCAGTCAGAGATGTCCAAGTAGCTCCCCTCACTCACAACGAAGCTGCTGCCTGGGGGGAATGGGGGAAAAGTGTGTTAGGTGAGTGTGGAAATCTGAAATAAAAGCCCCAAGTATGCATTTTGGCCCAACATCAGAGCACTGCATTCTTCAGGAGCTGCTGTGATGACAATATCTGTAAAATAATAATGAGTTCAATGACAGCTGGTCTCAAAGAACTTCATTTGACCATTCCTCTCCAGAGGAATGTGCTCCAGCAAATGGTCCACCAGCTCCTCTGCCCAGACACTTCCCTACCCTTGCACTACTGGGATTTGATTCCCAGGTCTCTGCAGAAATGAGGATCAGTGTAATTATCCTGATGTGTAATCAGAGCATCAGTGCCCCAGCTCAGGGAGGAGTTGTCCTGGAGGCACTGGAGCTCAGGGCACAGATGGGCAGCAGCAGCAGGGCCTGTTCACCTTTTGTAGAAGGTGAGTGGACTGGCCCAACACACAACTTCTCGTGTGAGTTATCTCATACCAGACACTCCCCCACCCTCTCCCTCATGTGAGTTAGAAGTTAATTCCTGCCAAAAATATTTTCTTACAAAATCTTATGCTTCTTTATTTTGCGAAATGTATTTTTCCCCACTGGCGTCTGGGAATATGCATCATCTAATTAGCCAAATAGATTTTCAGTTCAGCCCAATCATTTCCTTATCTAACATCTGAGGCCCAGCATCGCTTGGGGGATTTTGCAGGCACAGAGGTCCTCATTAACTCTGATCTTCAATTACATTGATTATAAGACTGCCTCCATAACAGTGCTGCACAGATCAGAGAGGAGCCAAAAAACCTCTGCCATTAAGTGGTGTTTTGCAAAACTTACCATGGTAAAAGCTTCTAAAAAGAGGGGAGAAGAAACCTGCAAGGAGGAGAGGGCAAGGGGAACTGCCAGGTAGCACAGGAGCCCACAGCCACCTTTCCACTAAGTCTGAGGACATGCAACATGGGCAAAATTTGCAACTGCTGTCTGAAGATTGAAATCCTTCTCAGAGATTACCCAGAATAGCAAGTTTACAGATCCAGAGCCTATTGTCATGAAACTGCAAGGCTTATGGCCCTTAGTAAAGGACTAGGACACCATTCTTTGAAGCACCAACTTACTTTGATGAAAGCCAAAAGATTAAAAAAGCAGGATGATCAACCTGCAGCAGCAGCCACCCCACATGAACCTGCTTGAATAAAAACTCTGGATCTCCTTTTGAAGAGGATCCCTGATGCTTAGCAAGAGGGAGCCCTTCTCACCCTCATCCTGCACCACATTATCCATGCAAAGGATAAAACAAGCAGAGCCTCGAGTCAAGCATCCCAGCGAGTGACCTCATTTTCAGGCATCCCAAGATCTCAGCACCATCCAAATCCAAGCCCTAATTTCCCATAAACTTAGGTCTTTGACACTCAGATGTTTATATACCACAAACATATTCACAGGCGCATCTCTACACTCAAAGCCAGTGGAGGCTGCCAAGCTTCTGACTGCTCAAGTAAATGAGAATTAGACATCAGAATCCAGCAGCTCTGGAGACACAGCAAGGCAGGAGCTGCCCCACCAAGGCTGCAGGATACATCTCAATCAGACACAAGGCAGCAGTAAATCACTGGGTAAACCCCCCAGTGCCACTGCAAAGTAGAGAAACACTGAGCACAAAGAAGTTTCTTAGAGCCACGTAGTTTTATCTCTAATTATTCTTTTCAATTAATTTTTAAAGATAGCCTTACATACCAATAACAACAGTTGCTGGTTTCTTTTCCCAAACAGAAATGCATCGTGCACCCTTTGGGAGTGTTTACTGTTTACATGTAGGTGTCTAACTAGTAACCTGTCAATTTTGTTTTCCTCCTGATTTCCGCAGCTCCCTAATAAAGAGCAAGGCTTGGGAAGCACGTACAGTTGTTTTGAGACTCAGCTACAGACAACTCCCTCTGCACCCAAGGACTGAAGAGCAAAACCAGTAGCTCTTGATTAAATCCCTACTTAATGAACCCCACTTCTGGTTAAAATACAGCTTGGAAGTAACAGAAGCAAACCCAGCACAAACCAGACACATCATTTGTACTGAGGGATGAAGGTGGCTGGAGCTGGCAGAGGATCTTGGCCCAGGACCTGCTGCACCTGCTCCATGGGCAGGTGGGTGATGGAGGGGTGACCTCTGGAGCTCCCCAACATGCAATCATTCAGGTGGAAAAGATCTCTCAGATCATCAAACCCCACTCTTCCCCCAGCACTGCCAGGGCAACCAAATCATGTCCCTAAGTGCCACATCCACAAACCTTTTAAATCCCTCCAGGAACGGGGACTCCATCACTGCCCTGGGCAGCTGTGCCAGGGCTGGACAACCCATTCTCTGAAGAAATTTTTCTTTATATCCAACCTAAACATCCCCTGGGAGAAGAGGCCAGACCCCACCTGGTTGCACCCTCCTGTCAGGGAGCTGTAGAGAGTGAGAAGATTTCCCCCAAGCCCCCTTTTCTCCACCTCCCTCAGCTGCTCCTCCTCAGACTTGTGCTCCAGTCCCTTCCCCGACTCCAGTTACTTTGAAGATTAATTACTTATTTTGATTTTAGTAAGCCTGATTGAGAAATCATCATCATTATCAGGTTTTTATGGGGGTTTGTTTGTTTGTTTCTTTGAAAAGCAACAGTGAAAATATTTCAATCCAAAATTCCTGAATTCACGCTCAGTGTAAAATGGAGATTTTTCTACCTCAGCCTGAAAAAAAGTCAAACCCAGGGAAATTAAAGGTTATAGTTTCCTTCCTCTTCTTTCCCTCCTTTCTTCCTTCCTTTTCTTTTCCTCCCTTTCCTTCCTTAGAGGAGGGAAGGGACAACTTCCAGCAAGGAAACTTCTCACATCTCTGAAGCTGAGTGTGTGGCAAGATTTTGAGAGACATTCACAGACACCCTCATCACCTTCGCTCCCACTGAAAACACAAACAAACAAACACCCCAACCTCGATCCCTTTATAGCTTGCCTGTGAAATAAATAACAGGAAAACACATTCTACAAATATTTTGAAAGCTAAAATTCTGATGATTTCAAAGCCTTTTCACAAATTTTTTCTCTTCACTTTCAAAGAATCCACACACAGAAAAGAGTTTTTCAAAAGTCACCATCGTGTACATATCAAAACCACCTTGAAAAGCTCAGAAAGGGTAGGTTGAGGAACAAATCCTTTTAGAAACTACCAAGAACAAACATTTTCCAAGCAAGAGCTGTTTCAAACACCGTCAGCTTGCTGGGAACATCAGCTGGATTTGTTTTCCACAACTGCTGTCTCTGGATGGAGGGAAGGGGAGTGATGGGGAACTTGAGGGGGGTAGAACCCACTACAAACCAGCCTCCTAAAACCTTCCTTGAGGACCTCAGACCCTGCTAAATCACCCCCAGACCCGGTCTGAAGCACCCCTTCAGCTGCAAATCCCCAGAGCAGGTCCCAGCACAGACACTCTGAAGACGCCTGGAGGGACTGTCCACCCTGCTGTCCCCACTGCCAACCTCCCAGGTGTCCTCCTAGACACAAATTTCAAGCTTCCCACTCAAAGGCTTGCTGAAATCTCCCTTGAATGGATATGTTCAGGTCTCAGGGTAAAGCAACCATCAACCAACCAAGTGAATACAGAAACAAAACGACAACTCAGCACGCAGCACCACCTCCCAGGAACCCTTTACCAGGACACGTCCCTCAAATGCTGTTGGAATTACGAGCCAGCCAATGCCATGGAGCAGCGTGGAGAACACCAGGACACAGCTACAACCCCCTCCTAGCTCCACAAGGTCCAGCAGCCCCTCAGGGGATTGATTTGTTTGGGTTTCTCTGTGTGTGTTTTCCACTCCCCCGTTCCTTTCCAAACACTGATCAAAGCTGGATGAGTTAAGGCAGCATCAGAAGTTCATGTCTCTCATGCTGGGGTCTCCTTCAAAGTTCAGTGGAATTGCTTAAGCCCTGACAAAAGAGGCTTGAAGTTTTGACATTTCAAAAATCATTTTCAAGAACACAACAGGATAAAACAGCTCAGAAGAGATATCTAACAAGGGAAAAGAACAAAGCACCCAAAAGGCAGCCAAAAGGGTTTGGCTTTTCCTTTCTCTTTCTTTTCAAGGCAAAAGATCAAAATGTAATTTTTATTTTTTTTTTTTGAAGAACATCTATTTATTCCTCTCTCTGCTCTTTTTTGTCATCTTTGGTCCATTCACTGTTTTTTGGCCAACAAAACTCCTTTTCATCTAAAATTAATATTTTGTGTTGGGAAGCTGTGGGAGGTCATACTATAGGGTTGCTATTAATGTATCCAGCCCAATGCTACCATACAGTTCTAATTCTGTTACAGATAGTTTTTATAAACACTAGAGGAAAGATGATCCCTCTGGCTTCATTCTATAGGTACAAAGAATAACCCTATTTGATTTCTTTAGAGACCTTTTTCTTTCCCTTGTTAAACTTGAAAGAACATTGCCCAAAGAGACAACTCCTCCCCTATCAGCTCTCCCTTGATCAGCTCTCCCTCTCCTGTCCTGGGCCCAGGGCATGAAAACTTCTGCTTCTAAAATTTCTCCCAGAAAATACCAAAGAGCTGGACAGACTGGGTGCCCAGGACACACATGTGCTGACTTAAGCAAGGAAATGTGTCTTGGGGCAGGACTGCACCCACAGACTAATACAGTGCTCAGTTTCACCATCCCTCTCCTACCCAGTGCAAAACCAGGCGATTTGGGGATAATTTAAATAGTTTTAAGTCAAACTCTAAGTTCTATAGTCTATTTTGAATCCAGGGACAGCATCACACCAGGTTAAAATCCAAGACAACCCACTTTACTATTTTTTTTTATTATTTTTCTCTTCGAAAAAGATGAAATTCTTAAACAGAAAGTTATGATACAAAGATTAGAAAACAGCACAAGCCTATAGACACATCTTTCATTCAGTCCTCCCTCAGCTGAATCACTCAGAGTTTATCTCTCACGGTGCTTGACTCCAGGGTGTATTTTCAGCACATGAACTGCACCCAA